AGGGAAGAACGATCCTCCCCTCGCCCCCCCCCTCCCCCTCCGAACCAGATTATAAAAGATAAAGAACCACATATTTCTTATACCAAGATGTGGCATGAAAAATGCTTGGCGGGGGCCATAAAAATCAATTCCAGCATTTCTGCTTTGAAGCAACCCATCTTCAAGATAAACAACGGTGTTTGCCAAATTTAAATACATAAAAATACTCCAATTCGCTTCGTTCTTTGAAATAAGAGGTTGGCAAATATTAATTTATGACAAAAAATCAAAACGAGGCACAGCCTTCGGATCCCGAAGGGGGGAGGTTTACGGGGCTGATGTTTCTTAAAAGGAAAACGGCCCCCGAATCAGAAAAAAAGTATTTTTAGGCATATATTACGCCGTTTCTGTTTAAATGTATTAAATATTCAGAGAAAAAATACACCACCTAGAGACGCCATTGTAAGATATTCTTAAAAAATCTATGTATCAAGTCGAAAGGGTGTAAAATTCCAATAAATGGTAAATGGATCAAAAAGGGTGTTGGAAACGATGGGAATAACAATCATTCAAGAGAAGAATGACGATGATTTAGAAAAAAAATCAAGAGATATTTGAAAAAATAGAAGATAGAAGGAAGTACTGCAAAAAATAAATAACATTTTAAAGAATTTTTTTTAGCATGCCATGGACCCGAACCAAAACCACAACTTTATCCGTGAAAATGAGAATGGGGGATGTGTTTCAAACTTTTCACGACATCTTTGAAGCAAAAATGGAATTTTTAAATTCAAGTACTTAAAATATTATTTTTATGAGGAAAGAGAATCACTTTAATATTTTTCCAAGGGAAATCAAACAGGTGACCCGGCGCATGATAAGCCATTCCAAAAAAACATCCCAATAAAAAAAGAAAGTTTTACTTGAAATCAACATTTATATGAAATATTTATATAGTATCGTTTTTTGAAAATATTTGAGCTTAATGAACATTCCATTTTATTTTTCTTCTTATCTTCTGTACTGAATGCGTTTTTTTATCCTTTTGGTGTATTTTTATAAAACCCTTTGGTTTTGAATTGTTTTAATTTTCGAAGAGGTGGTAATTTTAAAATAAAATGAGATAAAAATATCTAGTAGAAAAGGTATGATTTTATTTCCATTAATATGGAATATTAATGGGCGTTTTCTTTACCTTCTTGATATTTGAGTTGCTTTTAGAAAAAAAGCATGATGGGAATCAAATCGGTTTTTTATTTTTATTTAAATTTGAAATAATTTATGTTAAAGATAATGCGAAATTGGTTTAAACAAACGCTTAAAGTTTATTTTTTTTGTGTTTTCGATGAAGCTGAAATTTAATAATGAACATTTAGGTGCCGAAGTGCCCTTCACTTTATCTTTTCGCTTTTGAATTGTGAAAAATAATGTTGAAAATAGAGAATAAGCAAAATGGGAAAATCTCCAATACAATTGGAATGGTTATAAAATTCAAAGTGGGATTTCAATAGAAATATAAGTGGTGATAAAATAAAAACCTCTATTCTTAGGATGCTTGCGGCGGAATTTATTGAAAGTAGATTTTTGCCCCCGTGGTGAACATTTAAACTTTTTTTAGATCAAAAAATAATTTGCTGGCAATGAATTTATATTGAAATGGTGGATTTTTAATAAGCATTTTAGCGTAACAAGTATGTACCCCAAAATAAATCTAGAAAGCGTATCGCAAATTTGACGTCCCGAATGGGGATGGGAAGGCCAAGGGCGAGAAGCCCAAGAATATCATAGGTATGGCTTGGTTTTCTTTCAAAATAAAATTTACGTCACCGTTTTTCCCCTTTTTATATTCCCTGGCGCCATTTATCCTCTTTACTTTGGCTATGGGTGGGAAAAGATCAAAAACGAAGGTATTTGGTCATAGTGGAGTGGAAATTCAGTAAGAATTTTATAGATTAGAGTATTTACACTTGCGGATGTTTATGAAAGGGGTGATGGGTAAATTCATGAACTCTACTTCTAAAGGATTATTCCCGAAATGTGATTGTTGATCCGCCCCCCCCCCCCCCCCCCTCCTCTTCAGTAAAGAAATTATCTTTTACCCAGTCGTTATGCTTTAGCCTGTGTCATTTGTAGGTTTCTGGGGGGTCTTTATAACAGTTTCATTCTTAAAAACAGGGCTCGTCTTGACTATTGGCAGATCATATCGTCAGAACTCTTTAATATGTTTTCTAGGGGAGATTTTCTGTTAATTTCAAATTGAAATGGGTCGATGGTCTTTTTATCACATGGCACGCAAAGCGAGTCGTTTACTACTGTGGAATTTTTTATACATCAAAGTACCAGAAATTTAGCAACCTATAATATAGATGTTAAAACTTACAGGTTTCTAAATTCCTTTAAGTTCTCTTATGGGGTTTGTTATCTTTTCTAAGATTTCTATTAAAAAACTTTGCTTGAGTTCTATAAGTGCATTGTGTGAGTCTTTGGTTTTATATTCATTATGAGCTTGCGGGGTGTCACTGAGGAGTAAAACTAAGGTTTATAAATATCTGATACGCGTAAGACATTGTAACTGAATTTTAAGAGAACATTCATATTACCAAAAAAAAACTTTCAAAAGATAATAAACTTGCGAATACGTAGCGGGCTTGAAGTTAATCATAACGAACACAAATTCTATACTTCAGTGTATGTCAAATATTAATGAAGATGTATTTTTTCCATTTTTGTACTTTTACTTTACTGTTGTAAGAGTTTTTTTTGCCGATTCTTATGGGTTTTAATGAAATGATTGAGTTGATGCTCCTTTTATTTATAATATGATTAATTTTACTTCATTCCTTATCTAAAAATACGAGCCCTAGTTAAAGCAGGGTAAATTTACTTTATTGTATAAAGATGCTCATTTTCGCTTTTTTATTCTATTAGTTTCTTTTCTTATAAAAAGAAAAGAACTAAATTCTTTCTATTTTATCTTATTGTTGTTTATTAATCTATTGCTGACGACAAAGATTGATACTTACTATAACATTATTGTTTCTATATCTTTAATTTAAGACATCAATGTGTATAAAAATACTATGATTTATTACCAAATTATCTTATAACTGTGACAATAGACGTAAAGTTAAGGTTAAATCCGCTTCACTTTTTTTTGATATGGAACTTCTGGGATTTGATATTAGAATAATATTCAGAAATCAAATTTCTTCTTATTATGTTGAGGAATCCATAGCATACACATCGTATTGTATAGTTTTTTCTTTTATCATTACATTTATTTATCCTACTATAATAATAGAAGTTTTAATTTTATAATTATATAAGAATAAAATATTAGTTTGTTTATTCTTATACCTTACTGAAAATCAATTGACGTGATTATTTTTTATTACATGTTTTTCATACAAAATGTTTAAGTAATGATAGTCATAAATAATTAGTTTTATTTTACACTTAAAATAAAATAAATTTATAAGCAATCAGCCGAAAGTCTTTACAGACACATTTTTTTTGTGAACTTTATTGATATTTTTTTTCTGTATTTGTCTCTTTGATTATCACTAAATTTTTCGACACACATATCTTTTCCAATTTTATTTTAAGATGAACAAAAAAAGACATTAGCATAAAAAAAAAACGATTATTGCCTCAAAAAAGGAACTTTTGAATTAAGGAAAATATAATGTATTCAAAAGGCAAAAAAGAACAGCAGCCTGCAAAGGATCTCAAGATTTATGAACTAGAGCTGCTTGTAAAGGACCTGAAGACAGAACTTAAGGAGTGCAATGGCTTAAAAGACAAGCTTGAGCTTGCTAACAGAAATTCTTGTGTTCTTGAAGAAGAAAATGTCAATCTTATAAGAACTCTTAAGACCATGGGAAATGTTAAAACTGACTCCCAAAATTCGACTACTAGCGCAGGAGCCATGAAACTTATCAGTGAAAATGAGGATCTTCGGCGGGCCCTAGAAAATTCATTATCAGATCTCGAAAAGACCAAAGAAGGCTTTCAAGACCTAGTATTAAAATTAGAAGGCCAGATTCGTCAGATATCTGAGGAGCGTGACAATATAGCAAAGGAAAATGAACGCCTTGTAAAAGACCTCGATTCATCAAGGCATCAGTATTTTGAGTTGAAAAATGCTTTGGACGACGAGCTGGCGATTTCAAAAGCTGAAATAGGTGTATTACTTCGAGAAAAGGAACGTTTGGTCGAAAAAAATGACTATGTAATATCTTCAAAGAAATCCACTGATGTATCAAAAGGTGGGAATTTAGAGTCCCACTCAAAGTCTGACGCGGCTTCAATTTCTTTGAAAGAACGATTGTTAAAAGAAGATGTTGAGGAACTCGAAGTAAAATTGAAGGCGTCAGCGGAGCGGCTTTGGCAGAAGGAAAATGAGTGGCTTCTTGCTGAGGCCAAATTTAGAAGTGAAATATCAGCATTGAGGGATAATAAAAACAAAAAAACAAATGATAAGGAGGTTTATCGTGCATTGCATGATCAAATTTCCACCCTCAAACGAGATCTTGCTGCACTTCGAGAAAATACATTTTCAGTTTGCCGAAATTTAAATACAAAACATGTCCGCAAAGATTTTGCATTATTTTCGACTGAAGATATGATGATTAATATCGATAGCAGCAATCCTTCTATTGATCTTATAAATAAAGATGAGAACATTTTGCCACAAAGTCAAGTGGTTTTGCAGAATCGTGTCAATTCTCTTATAAAGGAAAGGGACGACCTTCACGAGGATCTGGACAATTTAAAGACTACATTACTTCAGTTTTTATCAGATATTGAGGATAGGGATATTTACTGTAAGGAACTTGAAATCAAGTTGGCTACTTCAAACCAGTTGAATTACACAACGATCCAAACCAAACCAGATAGTCCACTTGTATTAGATTACGGACTTGAAAGGAAAAGTAAGCATTTGACACGAAACTCAAAGTTTACACAGGATGCTGAAGTAAAGGCTCTGAAAGGGGAACTAAAAGAGTTGCAAGGTCAACTGAACGATTTGCATGCCATCCAAGAACAAAAAGATGCCATACATAATGTTCGTTTAACAGAATACCAAAGGCAAATAGAAGAACTTCTTGACGAAAACAATAGTCTTTGTCAAAGACTGAAGAGCTCTTCTTGTGAGAAAACGCGTTTAAATATCAATGGTCAAGATGGTCTTGAAGATGTGCTGGATTTTCTAAGGGATAAACGAGAATCAGTTGATGAAGTTATGTGTCACCTTGAGTCCATGTGGGCCAAGGAGGAAGAAGCATCACGTCAAATAAGGAAATCCAACAATCAAGGCATAGCAATGACTCGATATGATGCAATAAAAGAGGATGACATGCGCCAACTTCAAAGAACCATAGTTGATCTTGAAAATCAATTGGTTACTGAACAGAGCAATCATAACCTTATTGATAAACTTAGAGGTGAGCTTGTTCAAAAAAATAACGAAATATTGTTTCTGAGCGATGAAATTAACATTTTAAGTGAAGATCTACATGATGCAAAGAGAAATACACTAGTAAGTAGTAGAATTTCTGAAAGGGAGGGGAGAATTTCCAAACGAAGATCACGCAGTGCAAGAACTGTATCATCACGGAGGTCACATGTAAATACACATGACAGCAAGATTAATGCTCTCGAACAACAACTTGTTCAAGCTCGGAGTGAAATCAATTTGATACACTCACACATCTTGAAGTCCTCCGGGCGTGGTATGTCTGCAAGCAAACAGGTGACTTCCATTAATTCACAAGTGGGAACACCTGAAAAAACTGTCTTGTTACACAATACCACCCACTCTTCTGAAGGGACCAGTAAAATAGAAATTCTAGAGGGTGCCCATCTTGCCATTACAATTGTTGAATTATCAAATTTGATGCGTAAAGGATGTCTGATTACAGATCCTGGGCATGTTATTATTAAGCTCAAATCGATGAAAGAAAAGTATAAAACATCTGTTAAAGAATTGAAGACAATAATCAAATTCGATGAAGCGTTTCATTTTTTTCTCGCCAAGCCTACTCAGGACGTGATTACTTTGCATGTTTTTTACAAATCAAAGAATAACTCCTATCTATATCACATAGGCGATGCATGTTTTTCAATGGCGACACTTTGTAGAGGAGTCCCGCGCCGCCGTACCGTTCCCGTGGTACAATACCCTGGTACCGATGACGCCTGCCGGGCGGCAGGTATTGAAATAATTCTGCAAACTAATGATTTTGGAAGGATACATCATCCATCCGATGCTGAACTAAAAGAAGAGGATTTACGGTATAAAAATTTGACCGAAAATTTTGAAAAAACTGCTCCCGAAAAACTTCATGCAGTAGATATTTACATGGCATCTAGTGCGCTTTTGTAGTTTCTTATACTTAGATATTGCCAACTCAAATTTTCTTTCTTCATCTATACCCTAAGAAAAATAGATTTCTTAGAATCTTGGGCATTGTTCTATACCAAAATTAAACTCTTTTTGATTTTCTGAATTTGTTATACCAATATAAAATTATATTGCCATTTGTTTACTATTCATTCACGCATGTCTGTAGTTATTACTTTTTGAGGATGAATAAAGTGAAAAGTATTTTCTTCTTTCACTTATTCCATTTCTATCCATACTCTCGACTACTACGTAGCTCATTCTTACAGAAAGCTACAGTACATTCGTTTTTTTCTAAAAAGAGAGAAATACGTTTAGTTTGTTTTTTAGAATACAAATTTTTATTGCATTTTATTGTGGCAAAGTTCATTCTTTTAGATCTGTATTAAACTTTAGCGGCAAATCTTATTTCTGCAATCCCGAAATTCTACTCTATGTTATCATTTTTAAATTTTGTTGAGTAAAACAATGTGCCTTTTTCTTAGCCTTTTTTTCCAAATGGTTGTTTTTGCAACGACGCTCCTTAAAATTAGTTCCCTAACATACACACCGACACTCATATTTTTTTTTGAGGGACCCCTGCATTCACTATTTCTTCCGAAAAATTGATGTCTATGCACAGCTAAAGTATATACGCACATTTAATAATCTTCCAATATCTAATCTACACAATAGCCACAGAAAATTAAACATCTTATTCATTGCTAAAAAAATGAGCGATCATTTTTTTAATACCGAATTTTGGCTTGCAATCGTGAAGGATATTGAGACCTCTTCTTTGGTACGTGAGGGGTCCTATATAGTGTACGAAAGCCTTAGTGAGCATAAAAAACGTGTTGTACGAACTGGTATCATTAAAGCTGTTAGGGATAATGTTGTGACTGTTACTCGGCCTTTCTCAACATGGAAAACATCTGTGATAGCCGAAGAAGAAGAAGTTCTCAATGCAGTCCATGTCGAGCCTCCTTTGTCGACGCCTTCACTTCCTTCAATGCAGCAGCACCTTCAGCGAGTTGAGGCTGCTCGAGAGAGTGTATCAAAAATCTTAAATTCTCATATAAGCGAAATTTATTGTCACTCATCTTCTCTAAAGCATACCTACCTTGTGCTACAAGCTGTGGTCGATATCATGTGCATTCCTATTAGCGATAATTCATCGAATTTTATCCAAGGTATTCTTCAGGAGGGAGGATTTATTCAGCAAATAACTTCGTTTGATGCAAACAGCTTGTCTCAGCAGCAACGTGCAGATGTGATTCAACTGTTTGAAAATTCCGAAATACTTAAAGACGAGTCGGCTTTAAAAGTACCACAAGCGATTATGCCTCTTTTAGAGTGGATCCATGCCCAGCTTGAACTTTTTAAATCATTGAAAAGTAAAGAAGATTTTTTTGATGAGGTAAGCATGTTCAGTTGTCGATCTCATTGGAATGATTCAGCTGCTGATACCTTTGTGAGTAGCTCCTGTCAGGTGAAGAAATCAGTTCCCTCTTTATTCGACTCCAGATTTTCAATTGAAGAAACGCTACTTCGTAGTGCCATCTTGAACGTTTATTCGTGTAATCCACCCGAAAATGATCCTGTCATACTTCTTTCAGGAAAACTCTGGAGACCTGAGCTGATGGAGTGTTTGCAGAGACGTATATATGAAATTTCAACTAGGCATACGCCTTTTTATAAGGATTTTATGACTTGCAACACTGAAGAAAATACGATACATGAGATTCAGTATGAAAACTCTTCTAAGTTGAAACATGATCTTAAAGAGCTTGAGGATAAATTAACAATGCAGAATCTAGAAAGCTGCATTCTTTCTGGTAGTGAATCCAAAGTTAAAAACTTTTCCATTTCTGAGAGAGTTCAAAACGAAATCGAAGAAATTCGTGATTTCCACGAAGTTAATGAACTTTTGAAGAGTCATTACTACTTTGTTTTTCAAGGCGATGGGTGTATGACAGAAATGAATAATATGCCTAAGGAGTTACAGAAGGCGTTTACATCCAAGGTAGCGCAGTGTTGTGGTGTTCCTCTAGAGCATATTATTAATGTACGTTTTACAGCTAGCTCTTTACGGGTCGATTTTGATGTTTTACATTCAACAACAGTGAGTACCGATCTTTTACGTGAGAGATTGTGCGCAGACGAGTTAAGTATTCTGTGTCTATTCAATGTGAATCTTGGAAGGTTCCCAATTAGGGTTATCGACTTGAAAGAAGATACATGTGGATTGCCGATTGGCGCTACTCAACCAAAAGAGTTGATTCAGACTGGATCATTACTTGGCGACGCATCTGAGTGTAAAGCTGATATTTTTTTAATGCAACAACAAGGGTTTGAAAGCGAGTTAGATAAACTCCTAGATAGGGAATTCATTGATCACGAGCAGGCTGACAAAATGGTGTATCTTTCTGATGCACTAGATTGTGTACAAAACATATTGCAAACTGTCTCGGATTTTCAACTGAACGAAACAGAAGCATTACCTCAGACAAATATGCAACTGAATAATGACATTAGTGCCCAAGAGGAGACAGTTTTAGTTACACTTTCAGAATATCTACACCGATTCACAGCCCTTGTAAACGAAAATAAAGTATTGCATGAAAAAATTTCATCAAATATGGAAGAAAATAAGAAACTTAGGGCTAACAATGATCGACTTAATAATGAGCTTCGCGAAGTAAAAGATCATCTAGGGAGATTTTACAAAAGCACATCCTATGAACCTATCAGCACGCCAAGTAAACAAGAGGCGTTTGAATTAGTCACTTCGGATGATACGGGGAAGACACAACTTCTACAGGTGGACCAGCTACACATAAGTTCTACTGAAGACACTCAGCTAGAGATTCAGCACCAAGCTGATTTGAATAAATCTGAAGAGCTTTCTGGCGTTAAGGAAGCTTTCTTTGATCTGAGTGGTGATCTTGACGTTATGAATCAGATATTTTATCAACGAGGAATAGAACCCCATAACCTAGCTATAATTGTCAATTTTATTAAAGGACTTAAGGATGAAGGTAAAAGTTTTATTAATAATAGCTGCATTTTCGATTCGTTGCAAAAGGAAAGAGTGTTGCATGAGGGTGAAGAGACACCCAAACAGTTTTTTTTTTCAATCAACATTGAAAATATTGAAGTTATCTGTAATCTTTTGTGTATGCTAATGGCTCTATACAAGAGCCATCACGATATAGCTGGTATTTCACTCGAACATGACACAAAGGAATTGGATTCACCTGCGGCTCCGCACGATTCACAGAAGGGGGGTATTCCTCCAAAAATAAAAGGTGAGGCTTCAACATTATGTCCCGACCATTCTATTGTCTCGAATAATATTGCTTTCCAGTTTAGTGAAAATTTGTGTGAAATTTCGCGTCCAAAGGCTGATTGCGGAATGTGTGCACAGCTGGAGCAAAATATATTACAATATAAACACTATTGTCATCGGATTCAATGGTGTTATACTGAAAGTAAAAAATTGAATGATCTGCTTTTAGAGCAGGTAGGTATGCTCAAGGCATCCAAGGGATAGTTTTTTTTCGTTTCTTACCACCACATCACATTTTTATAGGATTTTTCTTCAGAAATATAGTTAATTTGTCTTAATTTTAATTTACCTTTTTGCACTTTTTTTTCTATTGTATGTTGAAAATATTTTAATCTTATTGCAAATATTTTTTTTTTTTTGGAGAAGCCTGAAGGTTGTTTTAGTCATATATATATATATATATATATATATATATATACTATTC